TAAAAAGTAAATTTATAAAAAAATTAAAAAATGAATATATATTTATATTAAATTGGTTGAAAAACCAGGCAACATCAGGTTGTTCAGGTAGTAGTTCCAGACTGTTGTTCAGGTAGTAGTTCCAGAAATTGAACCAAATTGGTTCAGTGGTGCATCAACTTGGACAGTCGGAGTGTTATATTTTTATCAATTTTATTTTTTAATGGAAGTATGATATGTATGTTTTTTTAATAATATTTAAGGGTGCATCAACTTGGACAGTCGGAATGTTATATTTTTATCAATTTTATTTTTTAATGGAAGTATGATATGTATGTTTTTTTAATAATATTTTACATATTTACGTAAAAAAAAATCAATTTTTCCGAGTAGTCTTTTATTTTTTATAAGGAAAATTACATCAAATTAAACACTTAATTTTAACATGTTATGTTAAAATATATTATGTTAGGATCATATGTATAATTATTTAAATTGAATGAGATTATTGAAGTTAAATGATAGTTGAAAATTTTAAATAAGTTATTTATATTGGATAGTTCACAAGTTATCATTATTTATTTATAAATGAGACTCCCCTTAACTTGCTGATGTAACGAACACCTTACACCTCTACAACACAACGGAACTTGAAATTTCATCTGATTTTAAATGCAAACTGTAAACAACTGCTATTTTCCCTTATACAAACATAATTCAACACATCTGCTTTTTTTTTTTTTATTATTATTATTATTGCGATTTCAGGTGGATTTTCAAACCTAAGTTGAGAAACAAAGGTACAATACAAGATAAAACTGGCGAAATAGATTGTTTAACAAAGGGCAAATTTCATAACAAATATGATTATTCAATTCGAATCAAGTACTCGACAATTTCGATGACCGAGTACTGACACTGACTTGGCGTGAGGTGCTCTTTTTGACAATGTTCTAGAAGTCGAAAAGGCGTTCGGCCGCTGAGCCCGTCTAGGAGCGCCAAGGTCCTCCTAGATACCGCCTGACCGATTTTTCCAGCCGTTTTATGTAAATTGGAGGTAGTCGAGCACCGCCTAGACGGCCGCCTAAGCCAACTTTTAGAACAAATCCAAAAATACTCATTCGTAATTTTTTTTAATAAAATACCAAGTAAATGTTATTGGCTCCACCTTGTTGCGGTGCTCCTTGGTCCGTTGTAAATTGTAATTAAGGTAAGTTGACCTTCGTTGAAATACTAGAATCTTTCGTTTCGAGAAAGAAAAAAAAAAAAAAATGTTATTGGCTTTAGGACATCAAGTCGGTATTCCTTAAATTGAGATTTTGATTGTATTTCTTTAACAAACCCTAGAATCAAAGAATAAATAGAGATTTTGATGAGAAATCTGTAGAGAACTCCAGGCAAATTCATACCGCACCTTAGATCAATATATATTAGATCAAGTATATCATTCTATTTGTCTATAAATAAATTTTGCTCCTATTCCCAATTTAAGTAAAACTTGACCTTAGAATAAATTATATTAAATTTACGCTAAAATTAATTTTATTATAAAAAATTATAAAAATTAAATTTAAAAATATAAAAAAATGAATATATATCTACATTAAATTAAGATAAAACGTGATAAATTCGGCCTGCAAGGGCTGATTATGAATGGGCCTAACTGGGCTTGTATGCCATTAGCGGGAGGGAGCTTGAGCTTGAGCTTGAGCTTGAGGTTGAGGTTGAGCTAGAGCTTGAGGTTGAGCTTGAGGTTGTGTGACTGATTCTGAGGACGCAGTTGGTGGCAGACTTTATCAATTTTAATATTTGGCATATTGGGACATCTTTATTAATTTTAATATTTTAAAATAATGTTTTATATATTTATTAAAAAAAATTGAAACACAGAATATAATTTTTTCTAGTTTTTTATATTTTTTATGAAAAATATTATATTATCATAAAAAGGGAAATTGCATATAATTGAACACTTAATTTCAATATGTTATGTTACCATGTTATCTGAGCTATTGCACACTATTTTGAATGTGTGAATAAATTGATTGAGATTATTGATGTTAAATGGTAGTTTAAATTTTTAAATAAGTTATTTAAATTGCTTAGTTCACAAGTTATCATTATTTATATCTCTTATCTCTTATCTATCTATATCTATCTATTTATCTATCTATATCTATATCTATATCTATCTATCTATACTATTATAAAAGAGTCTATGAATCTGTAAAAATATAATATGCCTAAAATATCCTTATTTTATCATCTTTGTAATGACATACCTGTAATTTAATATCCACTGTATATTATATTTTTAATTTCTCTGGTTCCTTCACATGCAAAATATAGAGTAGAGAATGCCAAAATTTAACTTTTGTCTCCAATCATTCGCACTACATTTTACTCTACATGAAATATGGTACTCCCTCCTATTTTTTTTTTTAAAATGTCATTCTAGTTTTATCAATTATTTGTCAAATAAATGTCGTTTTAGAACTTTTCTACACATTTTTCCATTATTACCCTCATTTATCTAATAAATACATTCCGTCTTTTCATATTCACTCTTCCATTTTTCTCAAAACATTCATCTCTATCTTCATTAAATAAGGTTATTATTGACAAAAAAAAATATTCTTAATTAACGTGCAACTTCTCAAAACGACATATATTAAAAAAAGGAGGTAGTATGAAATATGTTAGTACAAAAAATGAAATACAACTGTAAATTTAAAATTATTCAACAAAATAAATAATTTTATTAATATATAATTTGTCAAATAATATATGAATAAAAATAAATTAAAAAGAAAACCAAAAAAAAAAACACTGAAGTAAGTTGTAATATATGAATAACACAACTCTGAAGTGAAGTTGTAATCTAAAGCAGCATTGGACTTGCTCTAACTAACATAGAGGAGACTGAGAGTTGCAACTTTGGATATGATGAACACAATTCATGGAGTTGTGTAGAGAAGACCAATTACACATTTTGATATGGTGAAGATGAACACAACACATGAAATTGTGTATGGAGTTGCTCAATAAAAGAAAGGAAATTACCACACACTTGTTCTTACTTAGGCATAGATAGTTAAAAAAACATGGAAGAATAACATAGAACCCCACACATAATATCACAAGCATCAATCAAATTCACAAAATCATCAAAATGCATATATATGCTCCTCTCCTCTTATTAACCGCGCAAAAATAAAAAAAAAGTTTTCTTGCAAGCAACAAAGCCTCATATTAAAGGATACAACAATTCAAGTAAAAACCCAAATCTAGAGAAAGAACAATGCTTAAATCACCAAATCATAATTCATATAACCCAAACTTCACCTCAAGTTCATCCAAACCTTCTCCAATCTCCACCCTACAATCTGGCTTTCCGAGCAAGCTTTGACCACTCAGTGTGGTAAGCCCCCGAAAGGTCAACCCTTTCGTAAGTATGCGCCCCAAAGTAGTCTCTTTGTGCCTGCACGAGGTTAGCCGGAAGCCTCCCACGCCTGTACGTGTCAAAATACTGCAAGCTTGCCGACATTCCGGCAACACTAACACCCCTCTGGATGGCCAAGCCAACAACCCGCCTCCAAGCCGCCTGCCTTTGAACCATCTCCCGAGCAAATTCAGGGTCGACCAACAAATTCGGAAGGCCCGGATTTCTCTGGTAAGCTTGCTTGATCCTATCCAAGAAAACGGCCCTAATAATACACCCGCCTTTCCAAATCCTAGCAAGCTCACCCAAATTCAGGCCCCAACCTTTCTCCATACTCTTTGCCCTCAGCAAATTCATCCCTTGGGCGTAACTGCAAATCTTGGATGCGTATAAAGCCTGCCTAACATCGTCGATCAATCTCTTCTTATCATCCACCGAGCCCACATTGTTGATTTCCTCTTTCAAACCCTCATTCTTGAAAATCTCAGCTGCAGCCTCTCTTTCCTCTTTCAGACCGCTCATGTACCTGCTGT